TAGAAGAAGAGAAAAGAGAAGATTTTTAACGGTTTTTTCGATATATCTCGAAAAGTAACAAAGCAATCGATACTTTCAAAAAATCAGTCGATAGATCTTTTTAAAACCTACAACTTTCTCATTTAAAATTTTTCAATCCGTGCTATATTTTTTTAGTTATTTTAGAAAAACCGTTTTTTTCAACTTTGCGATTTTTTTTAACCATGTTCGCCATATTGGATCGAGTTTAAAGAACAAGAAACTCAATTTAAAATTTAATTTTCTATACGGTCATATTTTTTTTGTCCAGGTAATAATTTCTGTAAGCATTTCTCTATAATGCTTGGACTAGTACATACATCGTTGTCAAAGAGTTAATAGATTGATGAGTAATATTGTATAACTGCATACGTTTTTCTAAACACTTCCACACTATTTGCAGAGTGTTGTCAGTTTGTCAACAAACAATTGAAGGGCAGAAAAGGCAATATATATGATAGGGCTTTCGTGTTTTTCCTAGCAATATTTGTTGTTGATATCTTAAAATTCCACTTCTGTTAAAACTGTGTACTTTTTTTCTAATCTAGGAACGTGCATATTATTGCGAAACAGAGATAAATAAAGCGAATTCCATTTGAAGTATACCGATATTCAACGTGACTTGTTGAATGTTAATCAAAAATCACTTAAAAATTCTTTCCTTAGAATCATGTTCGATATGTAACGATAATCGGGATCTGATAGACATTTAAACACAACTACAAAAAAATAGTTGTTATCTTACACAAGTTTCCGTCGTGTACTAATTTCAGTAAAATAATAGCATTCTATCGCTTAACTTTTTGATACAAAGATAGTATATAAAAGGGGTCCATCTATTTCCAGAAAAAAATCCCCAATTTATAATTCCTTTCTTTTGTCTTTTATCCAAGTGACTTCAGACGAGTACATTTACTTAATTTTAACATTACAAATTTATAAATAGGATTCGTTATCTTTAGATAATTATGTATTATTTTAATTTATCTCTTAATCTTAGTAATTGGTTATTAAATCAATCTTATCGACGGACATACCTATTTTTAGCGAAAAAAATTAAGAAAACAAAGACATGGATTTCAATCGAAAGTGATGTTTAAGTGTTTTATTTTTGTGATACCTATAATTAAATTTTTTCAAGCCTCAAAAACTACAAATATATTTCCAGTGGTCGTGATAACGACTTAATTGATTATGAATCACCGGTTTCTGTAAATATTTTAAATAAAATTTTATACGTTTTCAACAATATGAATGCGTATTTTATCTCCAAAAAAACATTCTAAATAAATATACAAACGCCACCACCAACTTTGATTTCAATTCAACGACACTTCAAGTGTGCCTCTTTGTTTCAGGATTAGGGAGCGTTGCGGACATAGCAGAAAAATTCCTTGGATTCCAGTTTTCTAGTGGTGATACTCAAATCGTTTGACAATAGCTCTCCTGTCCTAGAGACCAAAAATGAAGTTGCTAATTTCGACATTCATAGTGCTCAGCATCGTGGCTTGCACAACTTCTTTTTCTTTAAGTGGTAAGTGATGTTTATCTTATAACAACCTTGACTAACGACACACTAAGATAAGCTGTAATATATCTATTACATACATGGAGTTTTTGAATGTGAGGTTTCAATTTTAACAGCTGCCTATTTATACGAGTTACAATGAAGCAGTAACATATAGGGTGTTTGGCATAAGAACTGACACAGAGCTAGATCAATATAAGGACAATTTTCAATTAAATATTTAACAACAACGCACGTATAATTTTTTAAGCCCTGCTGGACTACTTTATGACATTGAATATATTGAAATTCAATATCCAGTACCGATGAAACGTTATTGCCTCACCGCAAGGCTTGTTATTAATTACCTTTTTACTTTATATTCTGTTTCTGAACTTCCTGGTAGATTAGGAAGCTATTACAGACATTTGGCAAGCGCAGGAAGCGATCAATTTTTTTTCTCGCACTGCTGACTCAAACACGTAATGTTCTAGTCATAAATTAGGCACTTAGCTTGAGACGCTTGCCTTCATTTGTTCTACAGGGCAATATTTTAACACATTGAGCGCACGAAAAATTTGATGGCTTTCGGGAGCAATTTATTGCGGAGGTATTGATCACAATAAAACATTATTTTACCGGTAGGAAACGCTGAGGAATGTCTAGACCCCTACTAATCTTCTAATGCAAATATAGCTTTTGTAAAGGATTTGACTACTGCCGTAATCTAAATTAAATATTTGTTTAATTTAGATTTGGGGCCAAAAATGGATAGTTGATGTAAAAATGTTATTGTTATCATGTAATTATCTGAATAATATTTGACTAAGAGATCATAATGGTTGTTAAATTAATAGATTCTGTTACTGTAATATTTCCTAATGCTTATTTTGTGTTCTGTCTGGAAATACAAGAGCATGCGAGGTGGTTCAGCTGCTGTTACACCATCAGCAATACTTTTAGATGATTTGTACTTGATAAAATTTACCTAATGACACCAGCACCAGTCGCTTTTATTAAAAATTTTAAACTCGATCGCCCTGAATACATACCTTAGTAATTTATAATTCAAAAGTACTAGAAAGGAAAGTTGCGAGACTTATAATTAACTGTTTTACTTGTGATACTATTCCTTTCTGTGATACCGACAATTTTACCATAAAGTAGCTGCTACTATATAATTTGCTGCAAACAAATTGACTATAAATTATATAAATGAAACATTAGAATAATTTTACTGTATTTTCCGGATATATCAGAAATCTATATCGAGGAGAAAAGTTGTGAGACGCTTGCGTTAAACAAACTATTTATTGGAACGTAATAAGTATTCGATGCGGTTAGATATTATGAGGCAGTGTTTTAGTGGTAACTACAGGAATATAGGTGAGCTTTGAGTAAATTTTAATGTATTTTTATATACTTTCATACAAACTTATTTTGCGTATGTCTCTTCTATCCGATTTTTTCTTCAAATAATCAGTAGAGATAAAAACTAGGATTGTAAACTTCTAGAGTAAAGGAAGTATATATCCTTGCAAAGTAATTGTAAATGTAACGGGATCGAGCTCCGACCTTTTGACAACTGGAAAACATTTACTCTTCATTCGTTGAATATAAACACATTAAATAACAATCAGTCGCCACTGTGTCGATCGGAGAGATAAAAGCTAACAGGTGATGAAATTATACTCTTTTATCACGTGTATCTAAATAGTCAGTTCACTAATGTAAACAAGGGGGTATTTTCTCTCAAAGCAGATCTGTTATTGATTTCATCTCTTTGTACGATCACAAAAAAGTAATGTAACTTTTGGAACAATGTTATCAAGGTCTACAAGATGTTTTGGAAAGGGGTATCATAAATTCAAAAATAAAGACTTATTCCCATTGGCCAAAGATTGACGATTGACGCCAAAGACGACTTTTTTTAATTTTAGCCATATCATTTGCAAAACAAAATGTATTATATTGTGATTTTGAACAGATAAGTTTTAGATGGTGCGAAATAAGCTATAAACTTTTCCTATGACATATTGTGACATAACTTTTTTGGGGTTATGTTCAATGCATGTCAGCTATTATAATGTATAACTTTCTCTTATATAAACACATACCTTTATTGAAACCCCTGGGAACCTACTGTTTTTGAAAAAAAACGCATTTTTTTAAAACATACAAAAATGCTTTTTGTACTTGGTTCACGAACTAACTCAAAATTTTTTACTTTTATAAGGACTATGCCTCCTGCTACCTATAGCGAAATACAAAATTTTTATACGGGAATGATTTTTTTCGTAGTTTTCATAAAAAAATATAATGCATCTGGTGGTTATGAAGAGACCCAAGATGCATTTGATCAGAATGTCCAGAAACGAATGAGAGTAGCTTCCTTAGATCAATTTGCCTCAAAAATTTATCGGTTTTTATTTTTTTCTGTTTCATTTTAACTAATTTTTTTTAAGGAGGTATATCGGGCTTCGAGGGAAGTGAGGATCGCAAGAGGGGTCCTATGCTTTTCTTGTGGGATTAAAACCCGCTGCCAGCTTGAAAAAATTAAATTCTATTGAAATTATTTGCGATAAACATTATCTATATAGCAAAGAAATCTACTCAATATGCACATAGTATACATATTGAAAATTAGCAACATAAAAATACCATATTTATACCATTATTTTAAATTATATTTAATGAACGCATAAACTCTATGTAGATGTGGCAACAGCGCTAATAATCGAGTGCAGTTGTACACACTGCGAACCTACAGACCTCGGACATCGGAGATATTGCGTGTCAAATTCGGGTAAAGATGCCTATGCGTTTAAAAATGTATTGTGTGTAAACTATGTAAAATATAATTATTATATATAGCAAATATATCGTATTATCCTCGCGAAGATTTGTATCCTTTATTTAAAATACGTAAATCATGTGAACTGGTAAAACAACGAGAAAATAATTATGACAATTTAGTTCTAAAGAAATGAAATGACACTCGCGCCCATCTCTCGTCCAAGCCAAAGAAAATGTTGGATGCAATTTTGAAGGTTCTGTGATAGAAATTACATTATTACTTACTGTTCGTGTTTTTCAGCTCTATTTTAGTAATGCTACAAAAGTTTTGCAACTATAACAAATTTTTTAGATATAAAGTTTGTTGAGAAATATTTATGTTGCTTTGTTATTCTTTACAAATGCTTTTATCTCAAGTATTACTAATTATATTAATCGAGTAAAGAAAACTTTATGTGACCCTAAATATTGCTGGGTAATGATTACGCTGTTTTACAATTTGTCAACTGTATTTTTTATTCCAATAAATATATCACAGCTTCCTAGTCTTTTTTAATTAATCTAGTTTTTTAAAAACATTACAAAAAATCATCTGTTGTGGATAATTTATTGTTAATAAGAATGTACATGGGATTTAGGAAAATTGTATATGTTTGAAATCAATTTCGTTTTTATCAAGTCTTTCAAACGTATTCCCTCCTTGCTGTCAGCTGATTGCGACGTTGCCACATTAATCCTCAAGTCAGACAGAAACGCAATTATTGGTTTCTGTTTCTAATTAATACAGTTCAAAACTTACATTAGTTTTCCATCAATAATAAGATAATACTATGTACTATCTATGGAAAAATTTTTGTTTCACAATTTCTACATTTTTTCTCAGTTATGGGCAAAAAAAGCCGCACCGTCCATCTTCGCCATATAAACCTATGTTAAATTGAACAACTTTCAACAACAATATCTCAAAATCTAGATTCAAAAAAATTTAAAAAATATATGACGCACAGAGGGAGCACTGGGTAATACGCTATATAAATTTCAAGTACATCTGTGCATTTGAGTAAACCCGATATACCACCTTAAGCCAGTAAACTTATACTAAACACTAAGGTAACTTGATCTAAATTGATTTATTTTAATCCGGGAAGTTTGGTTCAATTATCTTCGGATACCTTGTACATTAAAAAGAAATTAGTTGACTTTGAAACAGGCAGTTATGTATTTTTCAAAAAATTTATTTGAAAGACTATAGGCCCTTGGTCCATAGGCAAAAATTGTATTTTTTCGATGGTCTATCTGCTCCTGACTTTATGGTACCCTTTCCCGAAACACCCTGTATAAAATACTGGTAGAATGCCTGTGCGGTTTACCATTTTATTTTAATTTTTTTTTCAGAATCATCAAATGTGCCAAAGAGCAACAGTAGCCAACTAAGTACTAAAGAAACAGATAATCCATTAATTCAGAAACGTATTCACAAAAAACACAGGGTGTTTATTCCATTTGCAAGACCACTGAGGTAAGATTCATAATTTGTAAATTAACCTGAAGATTCACAACATTTGTCTCAATGAGATTTCTTGGCATTTTCCTTGCTTCCGAATGCAAAACAATCTCGAGCTCTTGATCTAATGATTGCGTTGTTGTTACAGGGAAGAAGAGCCGGATAATGCGACATGTGAAGATTCATCAGACGAATTCCCAGTGTTTCTCAATGATTATGCAAGAAACCACGGAGGCGTCGTGCTGTGTTTCATTATTGGTATATATTGCTTCACGCTTCTCGCTGTGGTTTGTGACAAATATTTCTTGCCCTCCGTCGAGACCATTTGTGACGTCCTCCATTTGACACCCGTAAGTCTCCTTAGAAATGTCACTAATAACTTTGTTACTACAGCAATCCAAAACAGTTTCCAAAAGTCAGACGCAGGCGCAATCAAATATAATATTTGTTCAAGGTACAAATTTCAGTGTCTTCAATCAAATGCAGTTGCAGACTCTTGGAAACTGATTTCAATGCGCTGGGAACAAAGCTAACATGAACCGATTGAAATGATCCTTTTACCAGACGTACCTTCTAAAATCGATACTTTTTTCAGGACGTAGCAGCTGCGACCTTCATGTCAGTCGCTACCTCTTGCCCCGAGATGTTCACCAACATCATAGGTACCTTTATCACCGAGTCGGACATTGGTATCGGTACCATTGTGGGTTCTTCTCTTTTCAATGGACTCGGGGTGGCTGCGATTGGAGGTCTAGCCTCGATCACGGTAAGTGTAATCGATTTTCAAATCAACCGCCAATCTAGCTGTCACGTGATGTATGTATTCAAATACAGCGAAACAATAGTAAAAAATCAAGTAGTACAGTCATTGAAGCTGAAAATCAGCTGTAACCTCCGAATTCTTTCAATGAATTTGCATGAAAATTTAGAATAAGGCTCACCTTAGGCTCAAGTTCAAAAGTGACATAAGCCCGATTGACGCTTTTTGTTTTTTAGGGGTAAAAACTAAAAAAATTGAAAAAATTAAGTTCTCAGTATTTTATTGATAAAAATCTTGTTCAAGCACAAAGATTAAATAATGTTCCATGTTCTCGAATATTTTATGATATATTTGATCTTTTCGACCCTTTGTTTAACCCTTAAAAACTACCCCTATGCAAATAATGATAAAAATTACTTTTTAAAGATTTGGAATGATTAAATCGTACAATTATTTAAAATAAAAGTTACCTTACAGCTAATAAAATAATTTTTCTCTTTCAACCCCTAAAAACCACCCCTGTATTGACAAAAGTGATAAAAAATTACTTTTTAAAAGCTTGGAATGCTTTAACGGTGCAATTATTTAAAATAAAAATTCCCTCATTGCTTATGAAAGAATTTGCATCTCATAACACTTTTCAACCCTTATAAATCACCCCTGTGCTAGAAAAATGATACAAAAATTACGTTTTAAATCTTGGAATGCTATAATTGTGCAATAATTTAAAATAAAAATTCCCTTATATTGTTTATGAAAGAATATTTTACTTTTGCCATTTTCAACTCTTATAAACTACCCTTTTACCAATATTAATGTAAAATATTTTGATTATAATCGATTTTTAAATATAATCGACAAAAAAATTGCTACGCTGCATATAAATAATAATACCTTTTTTTTACTTATTTTATTTGTATAATATAATATACAGTGTGTCCCAGAAGTAACGCAAAAAAATCGTATTTTATTTTGTGTTGCGTTTTCAAAAAAACGCTAAAACACGTCAATTAGTAAATAAGAATTGTCATTTTGTCACGTTGCTTAAACCTTTTTTGCGCTATGTTTCATAAACATATGACGTCATCGACATTTTTTTTAAATAGCACTACCTAATTTTTTAAGCATAAATGGATAGTCCTTTTGAAGGGAAATACGTCGATATAGGGTTTGGCCTACTTTACTTTGACAGGAGCGAAAAAAAAGCCAATGACTGGAATGGACATGGTTTAAAATAACAACAAAAGTAGGTATCATAAACTGATGCGAGAACAGTGCCACAGCAAAAAATGGAAATTTGTGGATGTTTTGTGTTTTGGTTGATTGTAGGTACGTTTTTATGTATTGACATGTTGGCGTTTTCGGCGATATGACGAACGGCAGTATGTGGATTTTCAGTGACAGCTAAACATAACATTTTGCCTATCATTTTCTATCACTATCGTTGGCCTTCCAGATCTAGACAGATCTCTAGCATGGCCAGCGTCTTCAAATTTGCGTACTAATCTGCATACAGTGGACGGAAGTATTGGTTGTTCTGGATACTTGGGGTTGAATAATTGACATACTTCATCATAACTACGGATCCTATCTCCGTATCCAACCATAATTAGGATTTCAGTTCTTTGTTTCTCATTTAAACACAACACCATCGTAATGTAAAGTTATGGTATTTGTAACTGTCACAATGATATGACGCACTATTGCATTCGCTAAATGTCGTCTTCAGAACAATGCCTACATAGCCACTGTGATCGGGTGTACCTACCCAATCTACATAAAAACATGTACCTACAATCAACCAAAACACATTTTTTGCTATAGCACTGTTCGCGAATAAGTTTGTGATACCTACTTTTGTAATTAATTCAAACCATGTTCATTCCAATCGTTGGCTTTTTTTTCGCTCGTGTCAAAGTAAAGTAGGCCAAACCCTATATCGACGTATATTCCTTCAAAAGGACTATCCATTTATGCTTAAAAAATTAGGTAATGCTATTTAAAAAAAATGTCGATGACGTCATAGGTTTATGAAACATAGCGCAAAAAAGGTTTAACCAACGTGACAAAACGACAATTCCTACTTACTAATTGACGTGTTTTAGCGTTTTTGTGAAAACTCAACACAAAATGGATTATGAATTTTTTGCGTTACTTCTGGGAAGCACTGTATAATATATAAAAATCAGGAAGCCTATTTTGCTCCGAAAAAATGTCATTGGTTTTTTTACCATAACTCGGTTAATTTTGAAGCTATAGTATCCTACAAAAAAAGCATTTTAAAGATAATTTCAAGAGCTGTAAGATCGTTTGCATATAAAACCTTTTAAGTCCTTCGTTTTTAAAAGGGAAAGGATCGAAGGTTTCGAGACAAGTAGGTTTTTCACTAAAATGGATTCTTCAAGCGGCGATATCTCCTTTATTTTTTATGATACTATGGGAATAAAAGCAAAGTATTTGTTGAAAAAAAAGCTACATTTTTGTTGTCTATCATTTTTTACGTATCTTTCATAGTTTCAGAGTTATTATATAAATAAGGCAATTGTTTTTGAATAATGAAAAATACGTTTTCAACTTTTACCGTACATTATTAAAAAAATACGCATTCTAAACTGGTCTAACTTTAGGATCGTATGAAAAATACTAAAACAAAACTAATTGTAAAGGGTCTACGATTAATTTTAATTCTGATGGAAATGGTACAGCGTTTACTGCTCATTTTTCCTTAAAAAATATGAACTCCTTCAATTTTGCTCTAATTTACTTTTATAAGTGCTCATTTTGAAGGTCTTTTTGAGTACCACAAAAAACTCCTGGAGCGTTATACACGTAAAAATAATCCTTTTTCCGTTATTTGACGTTGAATACATCGATTCGAGTATTCCCCCCAAAACAAGTCCCCTTCCACTAACCATATTTAGCTTTGAATAGGACGTACACACTTTTTAAAAAACTATTTTCGTTGTTTATTTATAAGCTACATTTTTGTTTATAACACTTTTTTTAATAAAATGCGTAGTTTTTGAATTATTCGCAAAAAATACTTTGAAAAAGTGTTTTTTTCACTCAAAATTTCCAAGTTTTCAATCGTGAATAACTAAAAAATCATTGATTTATCGAAAAAATTCTTCGTATATTTTTTTGCTCAAAATTTCATTCTCTATCCAGCGTTATTTTTGAAAAAAATTCCACCCCCGAGAAGGGGTGTCAACCCCCAACAGGGTGGAAGCGTCAATCGGCGCTATGTCACTACTGTTCATTAACCTTTTCTCTAACTATCTGCCAAATTTCAAGTCGATCGGTTCAGTTTCAAAGAATTCGGAGGTAAAAAGCTTCAATGACTGTACTAAAGGTATTATAAGCGTGGATACGACTACAAGTTAACTAAGTACTGTTAGGTGTATGTTTTCATGTGGAGCTTATTTACAAGTAATGATTAGATTACCTTACGGGTGTGGTACGTAAACATGTAGTCAGACTGTCAAGAGGCAACAATGGGCAGATGAGATGTGATCAGGGTTCCTGGCAATCACTCGTGATATGTAACAAACAAGTACTGCTGTATGTTCTTAATACGTAACTAATTATGGTTTACACTCACCGGGGGCGCCCCGCCCCGTCCTTCGCTGTCCTATCTGGCGGTCCCTCGAATAAGCATCCCCGATGTAGGTTGTGCATGCATCTGGAACACCTGTAATCAAAACTACACACACATACGCTCACTTCTTTCATCCTCGTATCTCTCGGCTCAGCCCCTGGATACGGCGCCCCTTGGCTAATGCCCTCGGCCTCACCATTCATTCTCGTATCACTCGGCTCAGCCCCCGGATACGGCGCCCCTGGGCCACGACTACCTCTCGGCCTTACCATCCACTCTCGTCACCAGTCATTTATTCAGTAGTAACACAATAACAATAATAATAATAATAATAACACCTGATTTATAGAGACAGATCTGCCCTAATGACGTACTTTAATTACTAAGATTTTAATAAGTAATCGCTGAGAACGTATTCACTAGACTGCTGAAATAAGACTCTCGTCTCTAACGCAGGAACCCAGAATCACACCGTCAGCTGAATCTACATAAAATAATAACGCTATGAAATACAATCCATCATTTATTGAGAACTAAGCCCAGTTATTCACTTATTTGTTTATTTAATTCTTTTCTTTTAAAACAGTTCCTAACAGTACACCTTTCCAGATTTATTTCTAAAAGTACCGATTGTATTTCAAAAAGCGTCATTTCAATTTCGTCTTACTAAGTTTAATGTCAGGCAGTAAAATGGTTAGTTTGGATCAGAAAGTATCAATTTCGGAAATTATATGTTCTTACTATTCTTATTCTTAGTTCTCCAACGTCGTAAATTTTGATTTGTCGGTATTTAATTTTTTAAAACTGTAATCGTTTGTCACTTGTGTCATTATAGAAACTTAACCACTCAAATAATAATCACATGCATAATAGCAGATGTCTGTAGTAGTCAATCTTATCTTATCGAACAATTCGAACGTTTATAAATTCGAGTCCAATTCCAGAAATAGAATATGCAATTATGTATTAAATAAAGACAGTCGGGATGAGATTAAGTGGAATATCATTTTGTTTAAATGAACTTGACTCGCAAAGCTGGATTATTTGATAACAGGGTATTAAGTCATTAATACTGGGATAATAAACGTTTCCTACTGTACTTCGAGCTTACTGATGCACAAAACGTTTCTAATATGCTTTAGAAGCGTTCAAATAATTCATCTACACTCCAGGTCTGAAAAACTAGGCGATGATTCAGTCTCAACATGTAGCGTGTCATTATAAGGGTTAAAAAAATTGTTAAGTTAAAGAACACAGCCTAAAACTATACTACTTGGTTTTCTCTTAAGGAAAGACTATACGTGCAAAATAAAATTGTTTTAATTCGGCAGCCCCTGCAATTAGATTGGTGGCCCGTGACCAGAGACGTCTGCATTTACGTGATGGCAGTAGCTCTGCTCGTGGTGATCACCTGGGACGGTTTCGTCTTTTGGTACGAGGCTTTGATACTCTTCATAGTCTACTTCGCCTACTTCGCTATCATGTTCCAAAACACGCGCATCTCCAGGTTCGTAAAGAGCAGGCTTGGAAAGGACAGAGTGGAAGATCTCCAGACCGACGAGAAACCGGAAGCCAGGACTTCCGTCATATCGGCCTACGGCACGTATCTCGAGGAGGCGCACAAACCAGGCTACGTCAAGGCCCATGAGAAGGTTATTAAGGAGCTCGACGAAGCCGACAAGAAAGGTATGCATCTTGTGAAATTTCTTTTGAAAAAAATGCATTTTGGACGGAAATATGTTACTGCAATACAATATATACAATACAAAAATATTGTATACATATTAACAAAATGTTTCTTTTGTTACAGAAGCCGAGAAGTCGTTGTTCCGCATCCCAGAAGGGTCCAAGTTAAAAAAATTCATCTTCTTCTACACGTGGCCCATCCAGCTCATCTTGCGTTTTACAATACCAAATCCCAAAGTACATCCGAAATTATTCCCCATTAGTTTCCTCATGTGTATCGTATGGATCGGTACAAATTCCTACATGGTCTCTTGGATGATGTCAGTTATTGGTAAGCAACCAAATTTTAATAACTATAAAGTAGTTCATAAAACGTGGTTAGTTGAAGTAAATTCAAGTCAGAAACTATTTTATTTAGATTTTATTGAAAAGTAACAAGAACACGACCAAGCTTACTTCACAGTTGGTATCGAATTAATATATTCCAATCGTTTTATCCTATTGCTAAAACTTGATACATCAGCTTATTCATATATATAGGTTAATGTTTAGAAACCCGGGGCCTGATTGCTGCGCTGGTCTTGTTGAATAAACGTCATCATAATCTCCGAATAGTGTATCCAACTTGACCTTCGCATGGGAATCCGTTACATAGTCTTTGAAGACAAATCTATTTCTGCAAAACTTCTCCAAAAATACACCAGAATAACTCCTGCACACTACTTATCTTTGATGTTCTATTTGTTAAACAAGACAGAAATGACATATCGACGCTTTAGTACGAAAACGTGCTATCTCAAATTTCAGTTGGAAAACATGCTAACTCAGATCTTTAAGTAAAAACATGCTATCTCAGTGTTACTAGAAATTTAAGTTGGCACATTGAATGATTGAAACCGTGCATTTATAATAAACTTATACAGGGTGTTTTTGAATAGAGTAGCATAAATGATACCAGTGAATCTACATTTCAAAAGAACACGATCTGCAAAAAATCGCCTTAGTAAAATGTTCACCCCTGAAGAGATATGGGCCATCAAAGTTTCCAAAAAAATTATGAAAATTGGCTGTAATTTGAAAACCGAACGAGGTACAAATAACAAATTTTTTACAGGTTGTTTACTAATACAGATGCGAGTTTTCAACTATTTTTCGAAAATTTTAACCCCTCGAAAGGGGTTGAAATAACCACCCCTCAAGCCATTTTTTGCCATAACTTTTATATTTCGTAAAAACTCGATATCCAAAAATACGCATTAGATAAACTGGTTCTTTTAGAAACTTTTACCTCTCTAGCAATTTTCCTTTAAAACTTTTCGTTTATTAATAAAAAAATAAAATGTATTACCATTCACCTCACACCGTATATGATTGCAATCAATCAAAGAAAAACTAAGTGTGCTGCTGTCATGCCAGTTGTCACAATTAACTCTTCTGTAAGTTGTCACTGTTATCAGCTAAATACTTTTTGGGTGTAAATTAACAAGAATTATGCCAAATTTTACTAATGATGAATATGTGGACATGCTACAAGTGTTTTTTTCTACGATCGTGCAAAATTTACTACTTATTGCACTACCTACTGTGCCAAAAGTTTAACTTTTTTTACAGTAGTACAAAAAAAATATTGATTACAAGTTTAATCTAAGCATATCCATAAGTACCTAACGTCTGACATTGACAATTTGCGCAATTAATTTCCAGTTGTCAGTTAAAATTTTAATATTATGTAAAATACTGTTAAATAAAATTTGAAATAAAAACAATCGTAGAAAAAATGTTGCGTGCAACATGTGCAAAAAGCATATTTGTTGCACTTAACATGATTGCAGCTCTCAACTTCGTCTCGAGCTGCAAACTTCATGCATCGTACAACAAATACACACTCTTTACAGTAGTTGCACAAATAACTGTTTGAATGTCGCAGAAACTTTTATTAAATAGAAGTACAATGAAAACGAAACTAAGAAATAATTTATTATCAAAAAGAGAAAAAACAAAAAACTTAGTTAAAGGACATTTTCAAAATAATTGCCATTTCTTTCTAAACACAACCTAACACGTTTATCAAAGTTGTTACGGACTCGAGCAAAAATTATGGGATTGTTGCGAATCTCATCAGCCGCCGCGAATATTCTTTCCTGTAGCTCTTCAACACTGTCAACTGGGGTCGCATAAACAATACTTTTTATATGTCCCCAAAAGAAAAAATCCATGGGCGTTAGATCGGGAGAACGTGCAGGCCAAGAGATAGGTGCCTCATTGCCGCGACCTATCCAACGATTCGGGTAATTTAAATTAAGCCACCGCCTAACTACTACAGTGCTGTGAGCAGGAGCCCCGTCATGCATGTACCACATGGCCTGACGTACATTTAATGGTACTTCCTCCAGAAGTGGTGGTAGATGCTCATTTAAGAACTGCAAATATTCAACAGCACCAAGTCGATGAGGTAAAACAAAAGGGCCGACAAGCACATTTCCTACAATTCCTGCCCAAATGTTTAAACTAAAATTATGTTGAAATGTTGTCATAGATACTTCGTGAGGATTTTCAGGAGCCCAGGAATGAAGATTGTGCATATTGGTTAAACCATGTCTTTGAAAAGTTGCTTCATCTGTGAAAAGTATCTTTGAGGCAAAATTCAAATTATTTCTTAGAATATTAAGATACGATTCGCAAAAAACAACTCGCTTATGCATGTCTGGTTCAAGTAGAGCTTGAACTGGCCGGTGGTGAAAAGGATATAATAAATTATCATGGACAATATTCCAAACAACACTATGGGACACATTTAAGTGCATTGCTGTTTTTCTCGTACTAGTCTGACGATTTTCGTCAAACTCTTCAAGTACTGCATCCTCAAGATAAATAGTACGAACAGTAGGTCTTCGGCCGGTACCCTCAATATGCGGCTGTATTTTTCCAGTTTCCCGAAGTCTTCGTTCTACCGCCGAAAAAGTTTGTCTGTGGGGAACTTGACGATTTGGATATCTCTCATTATACGCTCTTGTTGCCGCAGCACAGTTTTTGCGACATTCAAAATACACTTGTAGCATGTCCACATATTCATCATTAGTAAAATTTGGCATAATTCTTGTTAATTTACACCCAAAAAGTATTTAGCTGATAACAGTGACAACTTACAGAAGAGTTAATTGTGACAACTGGCATGACAGCAGCACACTTAGTTTTTCTTTGATTGATTGCAATCATATACGGTGTGAGGTGAATGGTAATACATTTTATTTTTTTATTAATAAACGAAAAGTTTTAAAGGAAAATTGCTAGAGAGGTAAAAGTTTCTAAAAGAACCAGTTTATCTAATGCGTATTTTTGGATATCGAGTTTTTACGAAATATAAAAGTTATGGCAAAAATGGCTTGAGGGGTGGTTATTTCAACCCCTTTCGAGGGGTTAAAATCTTCGGTTTCAATCATTCAATGTGCCAACTTAAATTTCTAGTCACACTGAGATAGCATGTTCTTACCTAAAGATCTGATTTAGCATGTTTTCCAAGCTTAATTTGAGATAGCATGTTTTCCAATTGAAATTTGAGATAGCATGTTTTCCAACCGAAATCTAAGATAGCATATTTTCGTACTAAAGCGTCGATATCGCTAACATGCAAGAGTTTATGAGTTCTTATTATGATTCCGATTAATTTAATTACTTGCAATTAAACACTATCGACTCTTTTTTTCAGGGAGTGTTTTCAAAATCCCCGACGCAGTGTTGGGAATGACGTTCTTGGCCGCTGGTGGTTGTCTACCAGAATCTATCTCGATGACAATTATTTCGAGGAGAGGTAAATCTTTAACAGTACTATTAATAAAGCCAGACATCTGCGTGCGAAGTCATTAGGAATTTTAAATATAATTTAACTGCTAAATCTATTAAAACAAACTTAACAGCGTTTGGTTCTGCTGCAAGCAACCTTATCATGATATATTTGTACCAATAAAATGGATTCTAAGTATATATTAATCTATCAAAATTGTTCATTACCGACCATGTACATTGAACATGGAAATTCGGCCAAATAAGAATATCCGGCAGCTGTAACATGTAACAGTAGTTTTGTTGGTAATCGGTAGTAGCCTACTAAATTTTTTGAGATGTAGCGACCCGTATCAACGCGTTAAAACTTTTGATCAATTGTTCTTTGATCTGGAAAAAATTATTGTAAATTTTTCTTAATCAAGTTATTTCCTACAACTTTGCATTTGGAAGTACTAGTCTATTATTTCAAATAAAAAAGTTGGCCTATGTCAGGTTTTAAAAAAATAACACTGTATATACAGGTTGTAGAGATTCTTTTCCTAACGGTATATACGTGTATCTATTTTTTTTCAAGGTCGTATTTTTCGAATACGAAGTAATATATTGAAATGAAAAATAAAGTTGATAAGTAAAGGAAGTTTAAAGATAAATAATTATCGGACTGTTGAAAGACCAATAATTATTAACGATATGAATTTGAAAATACGCTAAAATTAAAAAAAAAATCATCAAAATCGGACCTCTAGAAGGTGATATTAAAAATTTTTGAGCGCATCGGGGTTCAATTTCGATCAGGCCGAAGCGGCCGCGCTCTCTACTTCCCCTACCACCACCACCCGTACGATTTTCTTGAATTTCTCGCTTGCATAAATAACTTTAAACACGTTTTAAAGTAGGTTTCCAATGAAGAAAAGTATTGTAATCTTAGACCTGGTAAGTATTCGGAAGACCAAAAGTATTTTTCGAAAAATTAACCCAGATGTCCCAGTACATTTAGTATAAATGACGGTTAACTTTGATCGGCTATAACTACGTAACTAATTGACCAATCGATCTGTTTTTTTTTTCTAAAGAAGCGTCTTTCCAAGAATTTTTAAAACATGCTTTAAAAAATTTGATTTGATTGAATATTCGCAGTTATTCTAATTGTTACTAAGTACAAAAACTCGACCAATGTCGAAACAAGCGTCAGAGCTCTCCTAATTGACGGATTCAAATTTTTCACAAAAAGTTTGAAAGCTTGAGAGCCCTTCTATATGTGATTAAATTTTAAAGTATCTCAGGGACTTGGTTTTTGCTGTGCAAAATTTTGAAAATTTGCAATTTTTTTTTTCAAAATCTGGATTGCAAAATTATTATGCAAAATCTATCTAACCGATTTTGATGAAATTTGGTGTGAAGAAAAAAATTCCCTAAAAAGTATTGTTTTTTAACCCCATTTTTACGATTTTTTCGATTTTTATCATAATAATCATGATCCATTCGATTTGTAACTAGTCATGTTTTGTAAAAAATTTAATTACAAACATTTTTTTTTCTCTTCCATTTTCGCCTAAAATAAACTCTTGAAAAGATACATAATTAAATAGGAAGAAAAATATAACATTTTTCGATTTTTTTTTAACATATCGCTTCTCCCGAAGAACAATGACGTAACTTCAAATATCTGTTTATAATAACCCCATCCATTTTTTATTTAACACATTTTATAATACACAGATAGTTTCCACACAAATACACATAGTTTCCACACTTATTCCAGTTACAGAATTGTTAATAAATTTCTCCTCATTTAAATGACAAATTTCATAATACTTTTAGTTTTTTCTTTCTCATATTGACAGTTACGTCAATGTTCCTCCAGAGAAGCGATATTGTGCCGCCAAAAGTTAAGCCCACGTTTTTTTTTATGCGCATAGAAAAATTTTCATTTCTAGTGATATTTGAAAGCCAAAAAGCCAAAAATCTCCGTGGATATACGGTTCACCCAAATATGGCTTTTTGAAACAGATACCGTCTGGACTATAAAGCTAATACTGTTTAAATCATTTTTCTTTTTCATAACCGCATCTAACTTTGACCTTCTTTTTCCAGGCGAGGGTGCATTCGGTGTATCCAACTCGCTGGGCGCCAATACCATGAACATCCTCTTCTCCTTGGGCATGCCTTGGTTCTTCAAGACCATCACCCAAGGAGCCAACTCTACATCTTTCATCAAGATCCAGTCGGGTTCAATTGAATACACCATCCTGGCGCTGATCGGAGTCTCCTTCTGTTTGTTCTTAACCCTCTTCTTCAACAAGTTCCGCCTGGGCAAACGTGCCGGAAGTATCCTGATTACCATCTACCTCATCTACGTGACACTGGCTATCCTCTCCGAATTGGTATTCTTCGACAACGACCAGTCCTGCGACGGATAGAACAGACTTACTCTTTCATCGTGTTTCCGGATATACTCTTGTTCAGATTTACACCATGGAAATGTTTCTGGTTGTAAGTCTGGACGTGATCTATGATACCTGACATTTTAGTGTAAGTTTGTAAAAGACTAATTCCAAGCAATAAGGTTATACTCTTGAAGAGATTTTTTTTAGCATATGTAGGTAGCTAATGTTGGAGGAGACTTTAGCAAATTTCATCTCTATTAGTTTGTAGGTGCTTGTTTTTTACAATTTGGAATGTTTTTCAAACGATATTTTGAGAACAAGAAAATATTTCGTGTTTTATGCCATAGCCAAAGAGAACACATAACTGCGTTAAAAATAGTCATATTAATTAGTAAAATCATCATTAGGCACATTAAGCGATGTACGAACTTAAAAACTATCACATCTATAGTCTTCTTTCTAAGCCCCTCTCACACGATACGACTTTTGTCGCGACAACGCGTCTAACGAAGAGGGCTCGCACTTTTCTAGGTTTCAATCCAGAATTTTGTGCTCCAGTCTGTGTAGAGATCAGAAAGAGGCAATTAAAAAGGTCTTGCATTTTATAAATGTGTGTAGTAGATAGTTAACAAGAAAAAAAGGAGGGATAATTCTTCGACTGATCTTTCTTGGGTCGCAGTCACAGCCTGGAGATTATTGGGTGTCGACAAAGCTTAAAAAACTCATTTATTTGATATTATGCCATTGAAAAGCTGAGAGGGATGCGTCAGATCTACGAACAAATTGCCTAATTTTCATTTATTGTTGACTGTATGTTTTTCTCTCAAAATCGCTAACTCACATATCTCAAACTATTTGGAACAAAAAAGTAGATGTACTTGTTGGTGCAATATTATTGGATAATTATTTTTAAGAATGAGATCCTTAGGAATTAGTGTTATTTGATTATTTAATTCCTACACCACAGCGTAGATTGTTAACGTTTTTGTAAATAGAATAAACACCTGTATTTTTTTATATCGTTTTTTAATTATCTTATACACCACAATAAAACCTTATAAACGTGCAGATAGTCTTTGGGGGCAATTAAAATGCGAAAAGTGTTATTTTATTGAAGAAAAACCAATGACAAATTCGTCCCAGTTGGAAATAAATCAGAATACCATAAAAATAAATATCCTGGAAACATTTTTTCAGTCTCACACTTTCCCATGTCGGGATGTGTTCATATTTCTTTGCAAATGCAATTTCTACAAGAATAATATGATCCTGCTTAGTTGACACGTTTTCCCGCTTAGTTTGAATAGCGTGAACGGTGTGCAAAACGGTTTTTATTGCCGTTATCTCCATCGTTCAATAACAATATATTTGCAAAGTTTATAGCCGTATGTAATTCAAGCAGATTACTTCTTTTGGCCCTTTATTAAAAAATGGTTATAAAAAGAAAGTATTTATATTGAAATCTTTAATTGGCAACCCACCTGGATTTTTTTTTACTTTTCATTACCGAAGTAGACTTTTCCAACCCCCATGTCTTTCTGTGGAGGCAAATATCTACCCCAGAATTAGCTAATCTTAGCAGAAAAGCATATGAAACAGTGGCCCATATAGTTAAAGATATTTAAAAGAAAATTTTATTAGAAAACAAATTTTCACATCAACTGTCGTAACTTTGGCGCATTACTCTTACTGAATGGGTGTTCTGTACGAGCTCCATCAACTCACATAAATGAAAATGCAATTTTTTTAAATAAAATAAACTTTGAAACAGTGTCTAACAAGAAATCTAACGGGATACTCAAACAGTAATAGATACATAATGATTAATTAAATACACAAAAGTCGTATACCATTTCGTCTCGTTATACCAGATGTGAACTGGTAGCAACGGCTTTTCAAAGGCGGCAGTTTGGTATATTAATTGACCAGCGCCAGCGGAGGCTTGCCTCCGTTGACCTTCGTAAGGGTTCGGAACAGATTCGGATTTTAAAAAATAAATCTTCTAACTAATTTAGACTTCTCAATTATAATCTGACGGATCCAATTTGTAACCATTTTACTTCCCAAAGTAATGAAAAATATTCATACTTTTTCTGCGACGCTTTATGCCAAATTACTTTCTGTTCGATTCTCGCTCGATTTTTCTCCCGGGATCTATGTCGGGAAATGTTCACGCGACATGCAACACGACAGTCGTGCAATTTCTGCCACGCGTCCACCTTTGCTAATAATTTCCTTACTCCGTCTGGGTAAATTCCCGTGAAACTCGTGGCTTTTGACGGAATTAATCGACCAGCATTTCCCCGCAGCTTTTCCGAGTTATTACAATGTTTAGAAGGTTTCATCAATAAGCAATGCAGCCAAGCGTCATACTTGCACCATTACACAAAACTGAATTGATTGTAGTTACTTGTTCTACAACTGAACAAAGGGGTTGGAATTTTACTCGTAATCCAGAACGTAGTTTGGTAATAGATAATGCCAGAATGCTACTTCGGAGTTGATTAATTGGATCTGGTTAGCCCGAACACTGAGAAGAACCAAGACTAATGTAATGAACGTTTCAGGAAAATATGAAATTTTCAGTTGCATTCTTTCAGTGAATCGTAAAGGGTTTTGGATTCTAGACTCAATTTTGGTTGTTTATAAAAATTACGAAGCCTCATAAATGATTACAAATCACATGACCGTAGAGCACAGCAACCAACATTGCACGGTTGGTATTAACAACTAAAAAAAAGCTTCCGAAATCTGCAACTTGCCGAATAAAATTTCAAAAACCTGAACACATTTTGATTTCATTCTAAAAGAAAGGTAACGCATTCAGCGACTTACCGATATGATAGACGATAATATTAGATTTTTTTCTGGGGAGGGCCGTACACGCCCCTGCTCCCCTTAGCTACGCCCATGATTATAATCAATATAGGGTCAAATGTGAAAAGTATTAATTCCATAAAATCTAATTCATATGAACTTAAATGGTTTATAGCTATTATTTATCTTTATACAGGATGCTTGGGTTTATGGTTCCATTCATAGGATTTTTTAGTTTTGATATTTGAAAAAACATATTTTATAAAATATTTCGGATTTTGATGAAATTATATTTAACGATTTGTCTGATTAAAATTAAACATTCATTAAATTTGATTATCAAATCACTGCTTGTAACTCATTGTGGTGGTTCTAAGAAAAAAAATTCTATTTTATTCTAAGAACGGACCATTTTTGACTTATTTTTGCTTTTTTAACTTATATTAAATCAGCTATCAAGCACCGGAAATCTTCCCCGGAGTTTTTTCCCGGACTCTTTCTCCGAATTTCCCCCCGAAGTTTTCTCCCGGACCGATAGAGATTCAAAAAATAATATGAGTGTGCTATATAAACTATATTCGAGAAATACTTCTTCAAGGTGTTCAAGATTGGTTTAAAAAAATCAAATTTACTAATTGTTGTCAAACAAGCTAAAGATATTTCAATGAAATTTGGTAGACATTAGCTACCATCGAGGAGCATGTTTCGCAATGAAAAACATTTTTTTTATTTTGCGAGTGGCATCCGTACTAGCACGTTACTGGATATTTCTAGAGAAAAAATTGGTACGCCACTGCTTTTTCATTAAATAAAGTCCAGTTTTAGATTATTCTTTCAATTTAAACGAAAAAAGCTCTCTTCCGATCTTTCCGTACGACTTTTTCAAAAGTTTTGAAAGTGATTTCTGAAAAACAATTGAGCAAGTACGACAAAATAACAAAATCTCTCAAATTAATTAGTAACCGTGTCACACTTAATTAACTCTCCAGTAATTTGATTTGTAGTTATTGTAATTTTTTTCGTTATTATTAGTGTTATCCTGAATAATGCTTTTTAGTAACGAAGAATCCTGAAAAAATAGATCGAAATTTGTTTGAATTTTGAACACTCCAGAAGCCTAGAAATAACTATGGACACGGGAATAAATCTCTAATAATGTTTTATTTTAATGCATGGTGGTAATAGTTTAAATAACTAGATGGATTTCACAGGGTCTAACGACACTTACAGTGTACGATAATTCAATAAACAAAGAAATCTAAATAAAAAATTTAGATAAATTTGGAACGAATACACTGAAGATGAATTTTTCAAGACAAAACGTCTGAATCTGGTTCGGGCTGAGGCGTTCCGTTTTTGGGGTCATGAAGGCTTGCAAAAAATGTAATGAAATTTTCAGGGTCATATTTAAAAAAATGAAGTTGATGATGATCCTGGAGAGACGAAACGTTACATATAAAAATTGATTATGCCATTCGATAGATGGTCAAAAAGTGGTTAAGAGAAAGTGTTCTTTTTTTAATATTACCTCAAACAAGGGTGAAATTAAACAAAAACGGTTTTCCAAAATTTTTTTTTTTTTTCAAATATTTTGAAAACTAATCATGTTAGCCTTGATTTTTTAGAGGCATAATGTTGGTCCTCTGATTACGCAACTTTGCCCCCATTTAAGCTACTTCGTATCTCTTACAGTTTCCGAGATCCCTGTAGTGAGAAGCGAATTTGTAACAACCTATTATACAAAATCTGTATGAAATATTAACCCATACAAAAGGCAGAGTTCGCATCCATCCTACACAAGGTCAGATGGCAGCGCTCTTCCACTTTTTCTATAAGCTTAATTTTCTTCGTGATGGTTTTTTCATAGAATGTCTATTTTTCAAGTTATTCGAGAAAAACTACTGAAAAACGTCTTTTTTTAATAAAAAATGTACATCTTCAGTCACCAGTAACTCAGAAAATATTGATTGCTCAAAATTGATTGCTTATCGATTCCTGGAGTTAATTTAAATATTTTATATTTTACCCCCTAGAAGGGGTGGCTTCCACTCCCTGGGCAAAAGCGCTCATCGGCACTATATAAAATTTTTAACAATTGTATGTTTTTTAATGTTCAATGATTCGTCCACATTTACGTCAAACAAATATGGTGACTTTAAAATAACACGTAAGGTGTTACACCCTGTACGAATGAAGTTCGCCTCCTCTATAATCCAAAGCAAGCCTGTTCAACGGACACAAATGCAAAGGCGACGCGATTTTCTTGATCTCCACGCTCGGCAGCCTCGCACCAGCGCCGGTCGCAACCCGCCGACCACCAGTTTTCATCCGCACGCGTTCACGTTGCCACCTAGGCAGCGTCGCGACGTCAACGCCGTTCGAAACTAAAAACTTAAGTCGAAGTTGAAAACTCTCCGCATAGCCACAGGTGGCCATGTAAATTTTCTGAAAATAATTGAACGTCGCTAACAACTGAACGCGAATCGATCACTGCGATAGTTGAACCCCACAAATTTTGTTTTGGGAGTGTCTGCTACACCTTTTTGAATTGCAGTTAATGTTTCTTTACAACTACGTCGTACCGACTGTAAATATTGGGCCAGTAAACAGATAATAAATTCTGGCGGCTTAATTTCTTCTTACCAGACAGTAATTATAGTGCGAAGCGCGCAGTGTAAAGTTCGGATTTGTAAGTAATCGGGTGAGCGTTTTTGAGTGAGTTCAACGAAAATGTTGTCGATGGCCTACCGATGTTTCGTGACTAGACTGGGCGTTGAAGGAACTTTATGTGAGGACTAATAACTTTAAGAACAAAATATTCTATAGCAGCAGTCTCTAAAAGTTTCTGTGAAAATTTCATCATGTAAGTAGATTTCAGTTGTATTTCGAGCGGCAATGTATTGTGTACCACCGCGTATAAGTCGGGTGTTATTAAGCGAATTGAATTTCTATGGACGTAAAGTTGTACACTTGAACTCAAAAGAGAGATTCTCAAAGGTTGTTTTAAGGTTGTTTTCGTACACTGTTATTGCTATCAAAGTATGGTCATTAAGTGAAACAATTATGTAAACCCTTAAAAGAGTAAATATATCAGATTTTTAGAATATAATTCAGCATATTTTTTAATTGTACGTTTTACTTTAAAAAAATTTAGAATAGATCTAAAAATGTTTAAACTAAATAAAATATTAGCTAATAATAAAATATGTATTAAAAAAAGAAAATTTGTAAAAATATTGATTAGGTAAGGAATAATTTACGTTAAAATCTAGCTAGCACTTTTAGGCCAGTCATTCTACGGGAAAAAGAGCGATTTCAAGAAGAAATTGATAGCAGCAATCTGGCGACGGGATCTTGTTAGGGGGGATAGTTAATGAAAAATACATAAATTAGTACGGCCAATTTTGCCCCCACTCCGAATAAACAATGGTCAAAGTAAAAAAGTCTTCAATTGAAAGTTGTAGGCATTAAAAAACCTACAATTTTATTGTTTATGCATTAAAGAAGGGACATTATTTATCGAGATAATTGCAAAAAACATGTATTTTTGCAGTGTTTTTTAATTGTTAATAGCTTTTGCAATAATGGTCATAGGCGAATTTTAATCTACACTAAAAATGAGGGTATTATAACCCTTTATATGTGGCCACAAATTGGGCCCGATCGGTGCAATAGGGTTGAAATTAATGTTAATAAACAATGGAGCTGTAATTTTTTTAAAAAAGGGCTATCTCGACCCAGAAAGAGCGTAGGGCATATATTTTTTTAAATCTTTGTTTTTTAACCAGCTATCCGGTGATATGAGTGTCATGTTTCTGAGACCAGTAGTTCTGGAGTTACTTCTATTAATTTATAAACAAAACCTTTTTTGCATTGAAAAAAACGCAACAAAATTGAAAAAAATCGATTTTTTTTAACATACCATAATTTTCAGACTTATAACTATCATTTCCTGGCGTTTAAATTGATTTTTATGCACTCACTGACCAAGCTCAATCGTTTAAAACAATCGTGTTTGGGATAAACAACTGCAATTATTCATAAACTATTGCACCGATCGAGCCCAATTTGTGGCCACATATAAAGAGTTATAATACCCTCATTTTTAGTAGATTAAAATTCGCTTATGACCATTATTGCAAATGCTATTAACAATTAAAAAACACTGGAAAAATGCATGTTTTTTTGCAATTATCTCGATTAATAATGCACCGATTTTAATGCATAAACAATGAAATTGTAGGTTTTTTTAATACCTACAACTTTCATATGAAGGGTCTTTTTCTCTATCTTGCCTCTGAAAAATTGTATTTGAGAAAAATCTCATTTTAACTATTTTGACCATTATATATCGGAGTGGGGGCAAAATTGGCTGTATTAATTTATGTATTTTTCATTAACTATCCCCCCCCGCCTACAAGATTCCGTCGTCAGATTGCTGCTATCAATTTTTTTCACGTTTTTCCGTAGAATGACTGGACTAATTTGACACTGTCCCTTCAAAATTTCCTATTTTTCTAAATTCTTTGTGTTTTTACATAATTTTGTAGTATTAAATACCCATTTATTTCATTTGCAAGGATTTGAAAAAAAAATTCCAAGTAAAATCTTATCTATTAGGGCAAATTTTGTATGTTAGTGTTTGTCAATTAAGATAACAACAATACACAATATTTTTTGAAATATAATATAATTATTTATAAATTTCACTGTCAGTTATGTGTTTTTGTATTAATAATATTTAGACCTATAATTTCTAATTAATTACTAGCTGTTTGCTAGATATTGCTGGCATATACAGGGTGATTTCACTTTAAATACAGAAACTGCAGGAATAGTTTAGTTGCCAAAAAATAAGTAGAGTTTGCTCTATAAACTTTTTTCCTGAGGGACTGTATTCGAATAATTAATTAATTATGCAATTTTGCCCCATTTAAGCTACTTCGTATCTCTTAACGTCTCCGAGGTCCCTGTAGTGAGAAGCGATTTTGTAATTTTTTCCTTTTCGACTTTTCCCATTTACTTTTTATGACTTTTTTGAAGTTAAATTTTTTACAGTTTGTCATATATAACAATGTAAAATTTAATTTAAACAAAAAAATGTACGCTTGCTGAAAAACCCTCCTTTTTAAGAGGAACACAACTGACTGTCATAGATTCAATCAACTTCTACTCCTTAATATACAGAGTGTCCGGAAGCGAATGGGTCCTGCTGCTAGGGAAACTTCCCTGGATGAAAATAAACTCGTCTAGATCAAATTACCTCAGCATAATTTAACTTTCCTAAAAAGTTATGTTGTGTTACAAAATATTGAAATTAAATTTTACAAAGTTTTGGGGCCGATAACATTTTAAGAAAACTTAGTTTGACTTATGTAATTTGATCTAAATCAGTTTATTTACATCCAAGAAAGCTACTTTACATTCTAACATATAACGTGAACCTAACCTCAAATAAGTTTAATTAATTTTCACAGAGGCAGGTTACAGTTAACGATTTCTAGCAAATGGTGAAAAACTAACAATATAAGCGTATTTAGCATTCTCAAAAACTTTCTGTAGCTAGTTTATCTGGAAAAGATATGGATATTTGAAAAATTTTCATCTCATAAACAAAAGTTTTAGGCCAATGGTTCATAGAAAAAAATCGTATTATTTTAATGTTCTGTGCCAGACAAATTATGGACGTGACACTTTTTACTCAGAATTTGTATTAGAAAGACTATTGATGAACTTAAAACAATAGTTTTTTATTTTATTAAGAGAAATTTTTATAAGAATTAAACAAAACAACAAAGTAAATTTTCTTGATTCGTCTCGAGTTTCTACTGGTATTATAAATCTTACCTTCCTATCCAATGGGTTTAAATCCGCTAAACGAGGTGGTCAATAATTCACATTTCAAAAAAAAAATAGTGAAAGACGCTCTATCTATTGTTTTTCTGAAAAAACTAAGTGACGTTCTTTGTTACATAAAAAATGGCTCTACTCTCCATCTACACGCTACTGACTATAACTAGAAAATTAAAAAACGTTTCTTCATTTATAAGTTGTGCCAAATTTTATTTGAATCCACTTATAGAATCCTGAGATCCGTATAACAAAAGATATTCACTTTTTCAAAACCGACCACTGTATCTTGAAAAAAAATTGTCTCGTTCCTGAGACAAAAGTAATTCCATTTAAATTAATATCAACCCTTACGGGACTATTTCATTGACAGTCTGAATGATATATAATGAATTTGGCAGCAATATCATCATATTAAGTGATATATTGAGTTCGAGAGTTATTTTAGAAGATGTCACCCCTTGTCAAAACTACTAAAACGCCTTAGTGGATTATACCACTAATTATTCTTGCAAATGCGGCACCGGCCACGTCAAACACGTTAGGAGTGTTCAATTACGTGAAGGCGTCAATCATTTCCGAAATATTACATAAATTATTAGTCAGGTATAAATTATATTTCGCCCAGTATCCTTGGTTGTATTTAAAACAGAAAAAATGTTCCACATGATCGAAATTTTTATTAATTATCACAACAGATAATGGAAAAAAACATTACTCTACAGATCTTTTTGTAGTTACGATATGACTTTCTGCTTAAGTCTCACTCTTATAATTAAAAAAATATATTATTTTATCCGCGCGTTTCCAGATACACGTTCATAAGAACTTCTTCTTTGATTTGTGACATATAATCCATTCTATTTTAGTTACGATCTTAAATATTTAGTGATATAAAGGGATAAACTACTTCTTCCAACTATACATCATAGTAGGTATCTATTACTGTCAATCGGAGTTATTCTTTAACTAAAAGTCATCATCATCAATCAGCTCTTACTGTTAATCCGACCCAACTTTCCCATCCATTTTCTGTATCGACTGACTTGACTTCAGTTGGCATCAATTTAAGGTCGAATGAAGAGTATGAAATAGACTTGCAGACACAAGTAAAACAAATTTAGATGTATGTATTGTAACGAGCGTTCAAATAAAAACGTGGTCAAGTTGGTTCTGAAAATTTGGACGTAGGGCGTAGCGTATAGCAAATGAACTTAAACGTCATCTGTCAAAGCGCTATATCGCCGCTATCAATTTGAATATTTTCGTTTTAAAAAGCGTTTAAAATGGTGTTTTCTCAAGAACAAAAAGTGTTTATCATAGAGTCCTACTTTAGAAATGGACGCAAGATTGATGGAATATGGAAGTATTCTATTGAGGAATGTTTCATAGAATTTCAAAATCAATTTCCCGGCGTTGTTGAGTACAAAATTTTTCAAAGTGCAGTTCAGCGTTGTGTTAATGTTTTTCGTGAAACGGGCAGTGTAACAAGAAAAGAAGGAAGCGGCCGACCTAAAAAGCGGACTGAAGAATTAAAAGAAAATGTCCAACAAATAATGGAAAATGCGCCAAGAACTTCTGTACGTGTTTTATCACAAATGGTGGGAGTATCAGTCGGTACCTGCCACACAGTGTTAAAAAAAGATTTGCGTTTGTTCTCCTATCGTTTAACTTGTCAGCAAGAACTTCATGAAGTTGATTTTCCGCGACGGGCTGTATTTTGTGAATGGTTTTTAAACAACTACGGTGAACTTCATAATATCACCTTTTTTTCTGATGAAGCCTGGTTTCATTTAAGTGGTTACGTAAACTCACAGAATATGAGAATGTGGTCTTCTGAAAAACCAGATAACTTTTTTGTCGAGGGCCCTCTACACGCTCAAAAAATTGGAGTTTGGTGTGCTCTCAATCGAAGGAGGATTTATGGACCTATTTTTTTTAATGGTACTCTTACTGCGCAAAGGTATAGAGAAGAAATTATCGCTCCTTTTGTTAACCAGCTGGAAGAAAACG